TGGCCAGAGCATCATCACGGCTGTTGTCATCTTAGCTAACCTGCTATAATTGGTAATTTCGAAATAAGGCTACCAGTCTGCCCACTTCATTTGCATAGGTTGATATCCTTTCATCTCGGGCTGTGTATTCGCCTATTGCCTGGTTGACTATAAGCTGGGACTCACAGAAGACTATTACCTCGTCAGCTTCCATTGCTACTACCAGTTCTAATCCTACGATTAGTGCTTCATATTCTACTTCATTGTTTGAGGTCTTAAACCCCAAATGAATAGATTGTTCCAGTATCTGCCCATCTGGAGATACTAGCACTACTCCTGCCCCCACTCCTTGTCAGTTTGAACTTCTATCAACAAACAATCGGAATGAGTCGCCGATGTGAACACTGCAGGGCTTGAGTTTTTCTTCCTTCCTTTGTTCTGCTGTTCCCTGCTGGGTTTTGCCTTGTTCACTTGGATGTTGTATACCTCGGCTCAACGGAGCCCGATGTATAACGGCATCTGGTGTGAATTCGGCCACAAAGTCGGCTAAGACTTGGCCTTTAATTGCTGTCCTGGGTTTGAATTCCAGGTCATATTGGCCCAAAGCTACTGCCCATCTGGCTATTCTTCCTGTCAGATCTCCCTGCTGTAACAGGGACCTCAAAGGATGTTCAGTTAACACCACAATTTTGTGGGCTTGAAAATAATGATTCAGCTTCTTGGAAGCCATTACTAAAGCCAGTGTTAACTTCTCAAAGGGTAGGTATCTGGTCTCTACATCTGCCAGGGTTTTACTTACATAGTAAACTGCCGTTTGCTCTCCCTTTTCTTCTTTGACTATTACTGCACTCACTGCATGCTCTGAAACTGCCAAGTATAAGAACAACTCCTCTCCAGGTATTGGATTTGAGAGAACTGGAGCAGTAGTCAAATACTTCTTTAAGTCAGCCAAGGTGGCTTCGCACTCTTCTGTCCACAAGAAGTCTGTGGCTTTCTTCACTAAACTGAAGAAAGGTTTGCATTTGTTAGAGCTTCTGCTTATAAATCTATTCAGGGCTGCAGCCCTTCCAGTCAACATCTGCACTTGTTTTGCCGATGTTGGGCTCTTCAGCTCTAAGATGGCTTTGATCTGATCCGGGTTTGCCTCAATGCCCATTTTAGTTACCAAGTATCCTAAGAACTTACCGGACCCAACTCCAAATGCACACTTCGATGCATTGAGTCGGAGCTGATATGTTTTAAGAATGTCAAAAACTACCTTTAAGTCTTCTAAATGACCCCAGGTTCTTTGGTCTTCACGACCATGTCATCTATGTATACCTCCACAGTTTTGTCAATTAAATGTCTGAACATGTTAGTCACCAATCTCTGGTAAGTTGCTCCTGCATTTTTCAATCCAAAAGGCATCACTCTGTAACCATACAGCCCTTTTGGGGTGATAAATGCAGTATTCTCCTTATCTGGGGGGTACATGGCTATCTGATAATATCCCCTGTAAGTATCCAGGAAGCTCATCCTTCTATGCCTTGAAGTGACATCCACCAATTGGTTAATCTTGGGTAATAGGAAACTGTCTTTGGGACAAGTCTTGTTTAGGCTGGTAAAGTCCACACAGACCCTCTACTTACCATTCTTTTTTTTCACAACCACTGTGTTTGATAACAATGTTGGGTAATTTACCTCTCGAATGGCCCTGGCCTCCAGAAGTCTGTCCACTTCCTCTTCTACTGCCTCAACATGCATTAATGTCGGCCTCCTTGCTTGCTAGATGACAGGTTTGGCCGACCTGTTCACATTTAGTCTATGGCAAGTGACCTCGGGGTCAATGCCAGGCATCTTGTATGGTGTCCATGCAAACACCTCCAGATTTGCTCTCAGGAATGCCTCCTCTAGCTGTTTTTCTTCTTCCTCTGCCAAGCCCGAGCCGAAAAGGAAGAAGCGTTCTTCGTCCTCTTGTTGGACAAGGATTTTCTTCAGGGCTTCCTCACTCTTCTTTGTTAGCTCTTTGTCGACGTCCCCCAGGACTTCTACGTTCTTGTCTTCGATCTCTACTGTTTCTGCTTCTCGTATGTTGTAGGTAGATTTCATTACCGCCATAGAGCAATTCTTTGCCTGTAACTGATCCCCTCTGACCTCCTCTATTCTATGCTCTGTTGGGAACCGTAATAGCTAAAGCAATGTTGAGGGAACAACCCCCATTGCATGTAGCCATGGCCTTCCCAAGATAGCATTGTAAGGGGTGGGGGTGTCGATTATGGTGAACTCTGTTTTTATCTTCTTGGTGCCAGCTTGCACCTCTAAACTTGCTGCTCCCAAGGGCCACGTTGGTGTTCGATTGAACCCAACCATTGGGCCATTGGACTGCTCCAGATCATCTTGGTGAAGGCCAAGCTCCTTGTAACACCTGACATACATGATGTCACAAGAGCTGCCCTGGTCCACTAAGATGCGCTTCACTTGGCATTCTCCAATCTGGAGGGATATTACCAAGGCATCGTTGTGTGGATGTTGCAGCGTCTCAAGGTCATCTTTAATAAAGGACACCACTGGTCACTGGTACTCGTCTGCCCTAGGTCTTTTCTGCCGGGCCTGGTACACATACTGTAAGTGTTTTACCTTTTGAGTCTCCCTACGTATTTCATTCTCATTGACCTTCGAGTGAATCATATTGATCACTCGAGGTATGCTTGCCTGCGGTTGTGGTGCTGGTCGGGGAGGCGGTGCTATCGGTGCCTGAGGCAGTCTTGCTTGTTCTTCCCTTGTCCTAGCCTCGTCTATAAGGTCTCTTAAATGACCTTGCCTTACCAGGTCTTCCAGATGTGCCTTTAGGGCTCTGCAACCCTGAGTCAGGTGCCCATCTTCGTTGTGGTAAGCACAGTGCTTGCCAAGGTTTCTTCCCATGAATTCACCAGGGGCCCTTATTGGTGCTCTGTAATAAGGCTGACTTTGGATTTTCTCCAAGACTTTGTAAATTGGGATTCGGAATACAGTTGTGACTGTCTGCGTAGCTCTTAATCCTGTCTCTTGCTTGTTGTTCCCGCCATTACCCCGGCCTTGCTTCGGCGAGCCGTTTCCCTTTTCTTGCTTCGATGCCTTTGTCCCCGACGTGTCTTCCTCGGCATTGGCATACTTCTCTATTTTGGCCATTAATTCTTCCATACTTTTTGGCAGTGTTTTTGCCAATGATTTTCGAAGCAAACAATCATCTTTTAGGCTGTTCTTAAAAGACACGATAGCCACCTCTTAGTTGCATTTTGGTATTCGATTGAATACCTCATAATACCTTTTGGCACAGGCCCTCAGGCTTTTGTCCTCGCCAATTTTCAGAGCCATCAGTGCGTCCACCCTTAATGGCTGTAGTTTGTTTGTCACGAATCTGGCCACAAACATCTTGGCTAGGCCTTCCTAGATTTTCACAGTTCCTTTCGACAACTTGTGAAACCAATCCAATGCAATTTCCCCGAAGGATGAGGGGAACACCTTGCAAAGCAACGGCTCGTTCCCAGTGTACAATGCCATCGAGTTCAGGTACAAACCGACGTGAAAGTTGGGGTCCGACTTACCGCCGTATATCTGGAACCTCAACATACTGAACCTTTTTGGGGCCTCAAATTTGTCCAACTCTACTGAGAACGGTGTTCTTAGCTTAATCGGGGAGGTTACCTCGGCATTTTGTTGCTTTCTCTGGAGGTAATCCCTCAGATCCTCTTGGTCCGTCCTGGAGCTCGGCTATCTCCGGATTTCAGCCTTTTCGGCGTGCTGTTTCCGGTGTCATTATGAGTTCTCTTGGACCTTTCTCCGTTAGTTGCGTCAAAACAGAGTTCCTTCCCTTCAACATGCCGATGTTCTTTGGGGTCAGTTTCTTTGGTACGATGCGTCCTCTGTGAATTTCCCTTCATTGACTCTCCTCGCCTAACCTCCCTTGAAGGGCGGTAAGAGTGTTCCTTGGTCCTGGTGTGCTGGCGGCTACAGGGACTGTTTTTTGCCCTCCCTTCTGGGCATTGTTCTTGGCCGCTAGAATTGACGTGTCTTGCAGCGGGAATGGTAGCTGCATGATGTTGTTCTGCATTATGAAATTGATGACCGTTTGTAGGTCCGCCAATTTGTCTGCCATTCCCTTCATCTCTTCGTCCCTCCGCAGGCATCTATCTTTCCATACCTAGAGGTCGTCTTCATTATAATACCCGCTTCGGTCTGATTTCTTTAGTACGTCACCTTCCTGGCCGACGTCTTTTTCTCCATAATTCTTATCACTAGTCTTTTCGTTGTAGTTGTCTTCTTCGATGTCAAGGTCAATATGTTTACCACTCCCAAAAGGGATATCGTCCCTAATCTTTTCTTTCCGTCCGTCGTTGGCCATCTATTCTACTATCTTTCCCACAAACGGCGCCAAATTGTGTGGGTTTATTTCTGACCACACTGCCAAACTAGTACTTAGTTGGAGAGCACCGGCATAATAGATTAAACCCGAACGACTTGTCACAGAAAGAAGAGATTCCGGAGGTGGTTCGTCCACCCGGGGGCATTCCGACGATCAAGTTAGTAATCTCTCAAAGATAGCAAAAGTGCTTAACTCACTATTCAGAATATAAAAAACGTACCTTAGACCCATGAGGGTGCCTCTCTTTTATAGCCAACACTGACCTAATCCCAATTGAAGCCTATCTTCAATGGACTTAGGATTATTGTTAATCTTGGACTCCCAGGAGGATTGGGATAAACTCTTTACGAGTCTCATCCTTACCCAAACTGAAGTCCTTTCCCATTCTAGAACTCTTGTCCCTTATCCGCTCATCCCTGATTCCGGTATTCTCGCAGATAACCTCGGCCTAGCCGAGATTACCTCGGTGTTATAATCAAGACACGTGGCACCTCGGCTGACACTTCGGTGCCACCTCGGCCACGTGTTGTTTTTAAAAAATTATGTCCCCACAATACATATTAATTATGACAAAATAAAATAATTTTAAAAATAAATTTTAAATTTTAAAATTTAATCTGAAGGCAGCGCAATGATAGGAATGGTTACAATTTTAAGAGATTGGGCGGTAGGTAGAGCTGCAAATGAAACGAGTTGTTCATGAACAATCTCGGCTCGGCTCGTTAAAGACTTGGCTTGGTTCGGTTTGTTTAGCAAATGAGCCGAGCTCAAGCTCGACTATTAGGCTCGTTTAGTAAATAAACCGAGCTCGAGCTTGCATAAGCTCGACTTGTTTCTCGACTTGTTTACTTTTATTTAAATTATATAATAAATATATTATTTATATATTAAATAATATAAAAATATATATAAATGCATTATTTATATATTAAATAATATAAATAATATTTTTTACTTAAATATTTTTATTTAAATAATATAAATAATATTAAAAAAAATTTATCGAGCTGAGCCGAGCTGAACTCGAGTTTTATTAATGTTAACGAGTCGAGTCAAGTTCAAGTTCAATAAACGAGCTCGATAAATAAACGAGTAAAGATCGAGCTTAACAAAACTCGACTCGATTCGATTCATTTGCAACTCTATCGATAGGTAACCCGCTGTAGATGGTATTGAGGAAAAACAGGGACTTAAATAAAAGGAAGAAGCGGACCATTCATATAGACAAGGAATCAACGAAATCATATGAAACAAAAACGACTCTTCTCTCTCTCTCTCATAATGAGAGTCTCATTCCTTTTTCGGGGTTTATAACTATTTTTATTAATCATATCATACCATATTAATCATACAAAAATACAACACAATGAGGGAGAGACGTTTTAAATATTAATAAAATATTTATGCATTGTGAATTTTATCATATCGGATCGAAAAATGTTACAGGGACTCATACAATATAATATATATGAATTTTATGTGAGTCTATATCATATGAAACATTTTTATGACACTATATGAATTTTATGTGAATCTATATTACACGAAACATTTTTATTTGATAAAAATATTGGTAAAACATTGGATCCCTGCCATTACCCTATCAGATCTCGATCTCTCTCTCTTTTGTTTACTGAAGTTTGATGTATAAATTTATTTTCCAAGGCAGGCTGCTGCTAGGAAACAAAGCAAAGGGCCCCTTTGAAATTTCTGTTTCCCCTAATTTATGCTCCTGTTCTTCCTCTCAGTAAGTAGTAGCTCTGGTTTTATTTTTATTTTTATTAATTTCTTTATGATGGTTCATTGTAAATTTACTAAATTGTATGTTTCTAATAATGGGTTTGATTCATTCAGTGTTTTAATCTTTGCGTTCTCAATTTTCAGTTCGAATTCAATTGCGACATAACCCTGTTTTGAGGGACCGTTTGTTCACTGTTGTGCTTGCTGGGGCATTTGCTCGTGGCTTTTACTTGATGTATGCTTTTTTGATTCACTGTTTTTTATTTTTATTTTTATTTTTTATTTATTTATTGTTTTGTTTTTGTTAATGTGATTAGGGTTATCTGAGACATGTTGCTAACTGGTTTCCCAAGGACCAGATTCACTGTCTGCTTATAATATTTCACAATTCATTGTTATTAAACAATAACCCATTTCAATTTTATACAGCATGATAATGCAAATATATATATATTTGGGATTAAAGGATTACTTTAAGTAATTAGATGTATAGTTGTAGGATTTTAAATGTTAACCTTGCAGGCTTTGAAGTCATAAGGTGGGAAACCAACGCTAGGAATGGGGGCTTTGGACTACTTAATTTAGTAGATGCGAAAAAGTTTGGAATAACTTCAGAAATTGTTGAAACAAACTTGTTATTCCATGTTAAAATTTCAACATACAAAAAATTGGAAGTAAAGCAAGTGCTGAACTTTTTCTTGTTGCGACACACGTACACACACATAGACATTGGTTAGATAAAAAAGATTCTAAAGAACCTTTCAATATTTTTGCACTTAGCTCCAAAAACCAAATGACTTCCCTATGCTCAATCTTTAGTTGAAGAAGAGAAGGTTCTAATTTTTTATAATTTGAATGAGGGGCAAAGGGATGGATGGAGAAACATCTTTTTGTCTTGGAAGGGATTTATCAGCAATGTCTTTCCCCCTTCCTTTTTTTTTGGTTCCAATGGTGATGGGGGCTCTAAATAATGATGGAGGGGCTGTTTATTTTGGGGCTCTCCCAGCCACATACCCATGAATGCCCACCTTCCCAACATGGATAAAATTAAGATTGTTATCAAAATGTTACTTGTCTTGGAAGGGATTTATCAGCAATGTTTTTCCCCCTTCCTTTTTTTTTTGGTTCCAATGGTGATGGGGGCTCTAAATAATGATGGAGGGGCTGTTTATTTTGGGGCTCTCCCAGCCACATACCCATGAATGCCCACCTTCCCAACATGGATAAAATTAAGATTGTTATCAAAATGTTACTTACCTTGTTAGAGACAATTCAGGTTGTGCAAATTGCTTCACAATAACATTGGTTTAGGATGTGTATCTTAAACAAATATTCATCTCATATATTGTGATATGTGAAGCTAATTTTTTCTCTAGTCCTCGTACTTGAGATAAGATGGATCTTCTTGTTACTCATTGAGCACTTTTTAGAGGCTCATTGCCAAAGAGAAGAAGAAGATAAATTTATCAAAAAAAAAAAAAAAAAAGTGAAGAAGAAGATAAGAATTGAGTGGGTCTGATTTGTCACAAATTGCTCAACGAGTGGAATCACTTGAGACTGCTAATTGTAGAATCATTCATGTGACCAAGACACTTCCTTGATTGGGCTAGACAAATCAATCACTCTAGGAAAGAACACTTGCAAGATAATTTTTTGGATATCAACAACCTAATGTTATTATTCATCTTCATATGAATTTATAAGATTACAAATGTCTCTTAAATGCTAGATTCTTGGTATTCCATGCATAACAAGCACTAAATTTATTTAAGCACTTGACAATAACCTAGAAGTCTTTAAGGAATTTTCTTGAATCTTGATAACAACTTTTATATCACTTCGATGATTCTTGAAAACCAGAAGAGCTGACTAATTAAAATGTCTTATAACTTTTATAGATTATCACTTGATGCTCCTTCATTACTAGGTTGGGTATAAAAAGTTTGAATGTAATATCATTGAGAATAAATGAATTAATGCGTCAACGTCCTGAGGAGGTTAGGGAGCAATCAGGTCGTCCCAATTGGTGGTCAGGGACATTGAATGACCTTGCTCACGAGCAGGGTTTGAACCTTGCTACGCATTCCCTTCCCCTTCGGCTCTATTTGTTTTCCTCCATAGCCTATGAGATTGGATTACCAATTATATAAGCCTTACAAGAAACATGTTTGGTTTGAGAAACGACCATGATGAGACTAGGAGTCCCATGGGATTAGGAATACCCTTCAATGAGGGGAGAGCAATCCCATGGCGGAGGTGGTATTGCAAATTCAATCCTATGGGATTGGGGTTGAAATGACTATTTTGCCCCTTACTTTACAAAACACAATTGTCACTTTCTACATAATGAGGGCTTTTATGTAATTTCATAGATTTAATCTCAATCAATTAATATCACTATAATAGTGCACAAACAAACACAATTTACCTTACACCTCCAACCTAATGCCACTACAGGAATAATCCCCACTCACTCAATCCCACTATACTCATTATCTCATCCAACTTAATTCGAAAGACAAACGTTGCCTTAAAGTGTAATTTCTATATGTTGTTTTTTTTTGTATAAAAAAGAGGGGAGGGGGAGGGGGGTCTTGAGGAGGTTATAAAAGAGCAAGAAAGAGAATTAGTGATCATAGACATTTCTAAATGTGGGTGGTGACCAATGAGTTAGTAGAGGCCAAGGAGGAGAGAATTAAGGTGTCTTTAGTGAGAAAGAGGATGGTAGAATAGGAGATGGACCATTGTTGGAAGAGTAGAGTAAGTAAGGGATGAACTTGCTTCAACACTTGCATTGGAGTCCCCTTATATAGGATGATGGACTGTTGGAGGCTAGCTTATCCAAGACCAAGTGGCTGACTCTCCTTGATTTGACAAAATGAAGGCATCTTGCCTACCCTTATGTCATAGGATATAGATCTTGGGGTCTATGCTATGGACAACAACAGAGGTAGTTATGATATATTGGAGAATGTATCATAGAATGAGGTTGGTGGTAGGTATGATACACCTTACGTGGAGGGTATCACTTGTTGGTTCAACACCTTTGTTTCTTGAGAAAGGAGCAAGTCAAGCGACCTCGATAAACCCTTAACTATAGCCTCTAAACCACAATCCTCTATTGATTCTGCGCAATGTGTGCCTAGGCCTTGCTCCTAGCCTATGAAAACAAAGTGATAGCAATGGTTGTATTGATCATGAATTATATAAGACTCCCTAATAGAGGGTATAAGGCATAGGGGAGTCATGACCCAACAGAGGGTCTTTTTGATCAAGCCAAGAAGTGGTGTCAAGCTACTCAAGCCATGTTGCTATTGGGTTGGGGTGGCTGAGCAGAGATACCTTGACTTGAACGAGTGGAATTCATGGCCACGCCTTGAAATGACCTATGGGAATGAAGCATAAAGGGATCATGGTGTGATAGAGGAGCACTTGGCCGAACTAAGGGATTGTTGGGCCATGTTGCTAGTAGGGTGGCTGAATGAAGGTGCCTTGGCTCATCTGAGTATTGCTTTGTACCATGACTTGGGATTCCCAATCTTTGACTCGTCTACTATGTGCATTGGCATGTGACTAAGGCATCGAGCTTGAGAATGGGCTAAGGTACCATACTCGGTAATTCATGTCCCATGCTTAGGCTTGGGCACGACCTAATAGTTTATTTAGGAGATGTCGTGGCATTGCTGAGGGCTTGTCACATGGTCATATTTGTTAGACTGGGCTGACATGGAGCCCCCACATAATGGGATAATCCAAATACCCACACTAAGAAGGTGTCATCTTGAGCACTTGTCAGATATATGTCCAAATGTATCATATTATTACTTAAAATTTCTTTTGTAAACTTTCATACACTTGGGGAACACTCGTTTCCATCACTTAAACACAAATGAAATACATTGCAAGTTCGAAAAAAGTAACTTAGGATCCGATTTATACCTATTAATCTCTCATGCTCTAGTCCCTTTAATTTTAGGAATTCTAAAGTCCAATTCTAATATAGATATTTGGATATTTCTTTGTATTTCTTTTTCAATATGTAGAATGAGAAAAATGATTTCTTTACTAATTTGATAATAATAAAATGTATATATATTTTGTCATGCAAAAATGAAGAATAGTTATTTTTTTAATGTATACATATGAAAATTTTACCGAGTCGTGTCGTATCTTGATTTTCTATCTTGTAGTATCTTGTTTTTTTTAAAAAAAAAAAATTGCCTCGTTGTCTTATCCGTATTGTTGTACCCATGTTTTGTGTCCAAATCTATGCTTAATAAATAATTTTAAGAAGGTTTGCATTGTATTTATTGAGGATTCTTTGGTAATGTCCTTTGCAAAAAGGGTTTTGGTCTTAAACGGGCGTGTTAAATTGGGCAATTAATTATGGCATAAGGTTGGACCTGGAAGTTCTGACCTTTTGGAGGGAATTTGAAGTGTTAGGAGGGGATTTTGAGAAATGTGGTGAGTGGTGCCCTCATGCTTGTGGATTTTGAGAAAAGAGTGGAACAAATGTTCCTTTGAAGAAAGTAGAGATCCTTATTTTGGCTCAAGGGGAGCTCCAAGTTTTGATATAGTCTTTTGCTCATCTTTTGGGAGCTATTGCACTAGTTTTTGAGATCCAGCTTTTGGGTTTTTGTACAGGGTTGGTGTTTGACTGTATGTGATCGGTAAGTTCATGCTTAAGTGCTGTCCAAAGTGGGACAGGGCAGTTGGCCCAGTGGTGGATTTAGCTGTCCGTTGGAACAGTGAGAATGTTAGAGGTTCAGGGTTCGAATCGATGGAGAATCTTTCGTTATATTCTAACTTACTGACTCCCTAACATCCTATCATATGGGCAAAAAAAAAAGAAAAAAAAAAAAAGAAAGTGCTCTCCAAAGTGTACGGACTCATCTTAAGTTCCATAGTAGACTAGATGTCATTATTTTGTAGATGGACTGAATGTACAGTATTTGTGCAATAAAATATTGTATATACAAGATTGTTCAAAAAAAAAAAAAAAATCCTGTGCTTGCAAGATCAAAGATGTTAACTCTCTTTGCTGCGTCTAAATATTTAAAAATGGTTCATATACTCTTGTATTTGATTGTCCGCATAATATTCTGTAATTTCCTTGATGTACATGTTCAGATCAGATCTCTACGATATCGAGAGCAAATGAACCTGCAGATGGTGGCTCGAGAAAACCATGGCTTACAGCTATTCTGAAACATCTTCCAGTTTGCAGATATCATATGCGGCTTGATACTCTGGCTACAACTTGAAACATTAAAGACATTTTTGAGGGTTATAGTTTTCTCATTCCTTTTCTTGTGGGCCAATAACTATGCTTTATATTACTTAGAAATGAAATAATTACCCTATCATTAAGCTGCTTTTGCTAATTTGTTAAGCTGTTAAGCTTTATTTTGGTCCTATCTGAAAAAAAAATAGAGCTTTATTTTGGAAAACTTATCTCTGTTTGAATTGCTGGATCAAGTAGCCACAGATTATATCGATATGCTATATCATTGCTGTGTGTTCAGGGTGGCTGAGCAGAGATACCTTGACTTGAACGAGTGGAATTCATGGCCACACCTTGAAATGACCCATGGGAATGAAGCATAAAGGGATCATGGTGTGGTAGAGGAGCACTTGGCCGAACTAAGGGATTGTTGGGCCATGTCGCTAGTAAGGTGGCTGAGCAAAAGTGTCTTGGCTCAGCTGAGTATTGCTTTGGACCATGACTTGGGATTCCCAATCTTTGACTCGTCTACTATGTGCATTGGCATGTGACTAAGGCATCGAGCTTGTTAATGGGCTAAGGTACCATACTCGGTAATTCATGTCCCATGCTTAGGCTTGGGCACGACCTAATAGTTTATTTAGGAGATGTCGTGGCATTGCTGAGGGCTTGTCACATGGTCATATTCGTTAGACTGGGCTGACATGGAGCCCCACCTTGATTGGGCTAGACAAATCAATCACTCTAGGAAAGAACACTTGCAAGATAATTTTTTGGATATCAACAACCTAATCTTATTATTCATCTTCATATGAATTTATAAGATTACAAATGTCTCTTAAATGCTAGATTCTTGGTATTCCACGCATAACAAGCACTAAATTTATTTAAGCACTTGACAATAACCTAGAAGTCTTTAAGGAATTTTCTTGAATCTTGATAACAACTTTTATATCACTTCGATGATTCTTGAAAACCAGAAGAGCTGACTAATTAAAATGTCTTATAACTTTTATAGATTATCACTTGATGCTCCTTCATTACTAGGTTGGGTATAAAAAATTTGAATGTAATATCATTGAGAATAAATGAATTAATGTGTCAACGTCCTGAGGAGGTTAGGGAGCAATAAGGTCGTCCCAATTGGTGGTCGGGACATTGAATGGCCTTGCTTATGGGCAGGGTTTGAACCTTGCTACCCATTCCCTTCCCCTTTGGCTCTATTCGTTTTCCTCCATAGCCTATGAGATTGGATTACCTATTATTAAGCCTCACAAGAAACATGTTTGGTTTGAGAAACGACCATCATGAGACTAGGAGTCCCATGGGATTAGGAATACCCTTCAATGAGGGGAGTAGCAATCCCATGGTGGAGGTGGTATTGCAAATTCAATCCTATGGGATTGGGGTTGAAATGACTATTTTGCCCCTTACTTTACAAAACACAATTGTCACTTTCTACATAATGAGGGCTTTTATGTAATTTCATAGATTTAATCTCAATCAATTAATATCACTATAATAGTGCACAAACAAACACAATTTACCTTACACCTCCAACCTAATGCCAC